TTTTGTATTTTGTAGGTTATAATGTGTTCTGTATGCCGTAATGACGTAACCAAATAGGAATGGACCACACTATTCAGGTTAGAGGGCTAAACTGAAGTGATGCAGATGCACTCTTATCTTGCTTTTACACAATTAGGTTGGCTTTGATCTTCAGTGGGCATGTTCTTGGCATGTGACTCTCACTCAGTCACAGCACAACACTATATGATGTGTTGGCATAGATTATCATCAGAGCATTCTGCTGCCTAATCATGCCTGTGACGTTAATTTGATTGCAAGCCACTTTTGTGTTACAAATTTGTACATTTTCCACTACTGATGTACGTGTCTTGACAGCGACAACAGAATATCTCTCACCATGTGTGCAAGTGGGTTCAGGCAAACTTTTACGGTGTGGAATCCAAAGCTTCGAAGTTCACTCTTGAATCCAAAAAGCATGGAATTAGAGAACTAAAAATTTGAGATTGCAACATGTAGTCAGTAGCAGTGGAAATTTCCCCTCTTTTAAACCCACACAGATAAAATAAGTAGCATCTGCATATATGTAAATATACCACTGCTATATCAATAAGAAAAAGGCACAATAAAGGTTACTGGGCAAGACTAGTGTTACTTTCACTTACTGTTATGAATGGTTTTAGAATGTTTTTTTTTTTTTACTTCATCAGATCATGTAAAATTTTTACATGAGGTGATGAAGTAAAATTTTATAATAATGAAAATGTCTCAATGTTTTTTTTCCTAATGTCTGTGCAGGTAAGAGAGCCAAAAAGAATGTCTCTGTAAAGTAGGACATGATATACAGAAGACAGTAGGAATTCTTAACAGAATAGCTTGGTATGCCACATCATTACAGCATTACAGCTGATGTTACTCTCAAATAAATAGCAAACTTCTAGTACTATATTTGGTTTGAAAAGTAAGGTTGATAATTACAATCCATAACTAATCCTATTTTTTTGTACAGGCACAGCAGAAGGACAACAAAATTTTGTCAGTTTGTTCAGCCGAGGTACAGCGTGGGAACAGCAAAAGAGTAACACTCTTTAGACTCTGAATTAGGGTTGCACAATATGGACACAAAATGCCATGTATTTTTTTGGGATATTGTGATGAGTTGTGATAAATTATGATTAAAATATACCATTTCAGTGCGTCTTTGAGTGGATGTGCAGCATATATAGATCCTGAAAATTAAGGGTTTGCTTTTCTGAGTTATTAAACCAAAATACTTTCCAATAACCTCTACCTAAAAACCATTTTGCAAGTTTATTTAACAGTAGATAACAGTAATGATATTTTTCTGCATTTTAAATCACATTTTTCCACTGTTCCTTGAAGTATCAGTTTAACTTCTCTTTTAAGCAAATACGCTATACATCCAAAAGCACGTACACTCACCTTCTAATTAGTAAATTTGGCTACTTTAGTACAAACTTGACAAACTGTTTTTATCTGTACGTTTTTTAGACATTATTATTAAGTGCACACACAGCTTGAATAGGCTACCCAGAAAAGTAATGGGTTGCTCTAGAGCAGATGCACATGAGCCTTAAATCATCATGCCCAATGCGAAGCATCAGGTACAGGAGTGTAAACCAGCATTTGGCCAAGGACTACTTACAAAACAAGATTTATCAATATATTGCATCAATATATCAATAAAATATAATAAGACACATTGCTACATGTAGAGATATCACAACCACAATACTAGTATTTTGTCCATACAATGCAGCCCCACTTTAAGCTATGCCTATGTGCTTCTGTGCAATTAAAAAGTAAAACAATCAATTACTGGTATTGGCACCAACCAAAGCAAATTGTTTGCATTACTGGCCTAGATGCTTGCAGTAATGTGCAAAACTCTCAGACCATTCTTCTAATTTCTTATTTTTCAGATAAAAGGGTCATTACGTACAAGTTAGGGGAGGGTAATATGGCAAAGGTTTAAGTTTTATACATGTCACTATACTTTTTTTTTTAAATGTGTGAACATATTCTTAAAAATATGTACAAAAACTATAAATACAATTACTTGTATCCAACATTTTACATAGTGGGCAGCACAAAATCCAACTAAACAGGACTAATTATGCTCTCTTTGTAATCAAACATGCAGTTGGTCAGCGTTTAAGTCTTGACGATATCCATAATACACTGAGAAAAGCATATTGTGACATACTGTGATAATTTATCACAATAATGTAGCCTTGGGGAGATAAATGATATTATCGAATATCATGATAATTTCAACCAGTGACGATATTACATAAATTATCATTTTATTTTTTTATCATGTACCCTTGCCATGTCTTTCTTCTTTTTTTTGTCATTCTTTGTATTTAACCACTGACTTTGTACAAGCATTCTAATCTATGGTAGGTTAAAATTTTAGACCTAAGCTATAACAGAAAAGACGGCACTAAGTATAGACCATGCAAACATAACTAATTAACTACAAATATGTGTTTTAAAAACGACACTTGAAAAGATTAGAATGTAGCGTTTCAGTTTGGCAAAGAACGCTGTGTATATGCAAATGTAACACTCCGCTACATGTGACCTTCTCCTTGATGGTGAAAAATGGATGAGCTTGTACAGAAGAAGGGTGTTACTGCACCCGTTTGGTAATATTTTGGTTTCCAACCAGACGAACACGGAGAACCATTAGATGTTAGCAGTGTTATATGCCGTCTATGCAGAAAACTGATCATCACCAAAGGCAGCAATACAGACTTTGAATCCACAGTACGAGCTGCCAAGCCGTAAGTACTTAACCCATTAACCACCAGGTGTTTTTTTTAGCATTACACAACTTTACCAGCCTTTTGTTGCCCCGTCCCAACTTTTTTGGAACATGTTGTTGGCATCAAATTCAAAATGGGCATATATTTTTCAAAAAACAATAAAATTTCTCAGTTTCAACATTTAATGTGTTGTCTTTGTACTATTTTTTTAATGAAATATAGGGTTCAAATGATTTGCACATTATTGCATTTTGTTTTTATTTACATTTTGCACAGTGTCCCAACTTTTTTGAAATGGGGTTGTACATACTAAAGCTTATTATTCACTAACTACAAGGATTTCAATGCAAACTGATTAAGCTATTCTTAGGTTATAAAAGTGTGTAGTAAAGCTTTGCACCCACTGTTAGGCCATGGGCATTTAAGGGGCTAAACAAAACTTGTGTATAACTCACAAGCACCTAATCCAATTTTCTCTCAATAACAATTCTCTTAGAATTTCTCTTAATTAACAGACCAAAACAGCCATCCAGATTTTAATTTAACTGAGTGAGATAGGAAGGGGAAGTAGGATTCAGATTAAACTTCAGCTGTGTGTGAGGTCAAAATCGCAAACATAGCAGTTGCTGCCCTTGACAATTTGAAAAGACTTTCTCAAACTGACACCCTGAAACTAAGAGCACAAAGGTCCTTTTCAGGCTGCTTGGCTGGTCAGGGCTTGCAGCTGTCACAGACAGCTCTGTATGTTTGCTTGACACCTCCCCTTACCATGGGATGAGGAAAGTGAAGATTAAAAAAAAAAAAAAAGAAAAAAAGATGATTTTAAATTTACTGCAAACTGTTACAAACGTCATGGTCCTTTATTGCTGCACATGAACTGCTTCTTTCATGACTGTTCAGTCACTCTGAATGTTGTCAATCATAGCAGGAAGGCTTGCAAGTACAACATGAACAAACTTGTGCTACTGTCATACCAGTCAGTAGTACAAGAGGTTTTTATTCCATTGAATATCAACAACATATTCAAACGGATACAGTCCTTTTTCTACATGTTCGATAAAAAAATCTGCACCCAGATTGGCTAAGGTGAAGAAATAAAAAAGTTCACTGCTCCCCTTTCTTTCACTATGCAGTGAATGAACATATTTTATTTTTAACTGTCTTACATTAAGATCAAGAAGACGAGATGAAAATCTTGCTCTGATCTTAACTTGGGCCTGGCTGCAAAGACTTGGTCTTTACTCTGACTGAATTTTGTTCAGGCTCAGTTTAGTCTTGATCTGGTCTCAAATCATCTCAACTACAACACTCACAAGTGTATGTCAAGTCAAGTCAAGTCAAATTTATTTGTATAGCGCTTTTTACAACTGATGTCACAAAGCAGCTTCACAGAAATCCATTAAAGACAAAGTTTTAACATGTCTCTCTAACTTTGGAAAATGTCCATAAATAACATTCTAATCAAAATAAATTAAATCACAATGCATTCTATTAACAGTCACCTTCTAGGCCATTATGGGTGTTCCCTTTCCTCATCCTGATTGATAAGAGGCCTGTTTCCATGCATATGGGCATGTGCACCCATGCAAAATATAATAGAGAGAAACTGGTTCAAAGGATCACAGAGAGGGAGGGAGAGAGAGTAAGAGAGAACAATGTGTACTATGATGCTCTATTTAATGCTCAGGTTAATCAGGCTAAATAAAAGTCCTACGATAGAGGATCACATGCATTAGGAGCGCGTTCAACATGTGTAATGCTTCTTTGTTATTAAAAATAACAGCTGGACTATCACACAATAAGGATTTTTGTCAGTCTCTCAGGTGATAAATGATGATACAACTGAGGGACAATAAAAAGCAGCTCCTTAAAGACTGTTTAGTATGTGTTTTTGTGTGAGTGGCGCTTTCCCTCTAACAGTGTCCAAGTGCATTGCACCACTGATTAGGGGAGGGGGTGCAGATGTAATGGATGAGTCCTAAACAGGGAAGTAGTTGAAAAGTGTGAGGTCCAGTTGAATACTTCACTCTTCATGTTGCCTTTTTTATGTTGCTTTATCGGGTAAACTGAGTAATCCATCAATATGACACACAGTAGCAAAATAAACGTATAAATGAGTGTGTGAATGAAGCTCTGTTTCTTGATGTAAGAAACTAAAATAGGCATTATCATCATTTACATTGCCAGCTTGTAACTGTCAATCAATCTAATTAATAAATATGTTCACACAGCGATGCAAAGATCTGTTACCTTAATGTAGCCATGTTGGGTGGATTCTGGAAGTGCTCCTGCCAGCGGTGGTGATGTCTGCAAAAAGTGGGGGCGCCCTGCATGCAGCAGGAGCCCAAAGAACCCATGTGAAGAGACCTTGAGGGCAAAGGCCCCTGGTAAAGGCTGCCTTCCTGTTGGGTCCCACTGCAGCAAACAGACTCATGGAAAGGACAGTGGACACAGCAAGGGGGTGGGATTGAGCTGGGCAACAGCTTGGTAAGTCTCTGAGAGTCAGTAAGATGTGACAAAGGTGCTGACGAGGAGGATGACATGGAGGAAGAATGTGGTTGGATGGAGCCATTCTGCTTGGTGCCACTGTTTTGGCTTGGTAGTGAAGGCTCTTTGGGCTGGCGAGGCCCTGTGTTAGATAGTGTTGGACCCTGCTCCACCTCCTCATTTGTGTCTAGAGCAGCAGCAGCAGCAGCAGAGCTGGGAAAGTTGACACTGGACATGAGAATACTGGAAGCCGTGGTACTTGGTGGATCTCCGCCACTGCTGAGTGGCAGCTCATCACTGGAAGTCTCATTCAGAGCCATGCTCTGTCCACTGTTGCTTGTACCACTCATCTAAATAGGAAGATGACATGAGAAAACACTTAGCCATGCATGATGTGGTTCTACTCATATACATATAGGATGATTTTTACATTTCATAACACCTTTGAAACAGTTAAAAATGACTGACGTAAGTAATGTCACCTATGGTAAATATTACATGGTTATTCTAAGCAGTAAGTACAGGCTGATTAAAAACAAGCAAACAGATTTAAGTAAATATGTAGTTAGACGACAAAAATGCCAATCTCTTGCTTACTGAAATATCATTCAACTCTGAAACATTTCCACAAGGTTTTTTTTTTTTTTTTGCAAAACCGTACTAAAGCACGGGATTATGACTCTGTCCAAAATAAGTTCCAGGTTTATGAAAGATTTCATTTGATAAACAGGTAAGCAGGTTTGCCCTACTGACCACCCTGCGTATGCGTGGTAAACCTGGTATCCAAAATACTTTCTTGCACAAACAAATCTGGTTGTTTTAACAAGAACCGCATTAAAAGGTACTTTTTGAAAAGAGTAATTCAAGGAACAGTGAAACTGTTCTGCAATGTTCCGCTGAATATGACCAAGGTCTTCAAAGCTCATGAAGCCAAAAGCCTTGAATGGCAGCCGTTGAAGCATTATTAAGACAACCTAAACAGCATGCAAGCAAGCTCATCCACACCAACATTTATCCTGGCTAATTAAGAAGTTACACAGGCTACAGATGTGACATATTATATTATGAAACTGACTAAAACCTACTTAAAATCAACAATGTTGACAGAAAAACCTAGACAGAAAAACCTGAAGCACATTACTACTATCCATGCCATTCAAGGGAAATATACAAACAGAAACACTCCAGAGAGCACAGTTCAGAAACATTCTTAATCCTACTTAATACATTCTGCAGCTTCAGATCAACAGATTATTAATGAATGTGAACAGATAAACACTGAAACTCCCAGACAATTAATCTTTATTTTGAATTCTATTATATTAAAAAGACAAGAACAGGATAGCCATCTTTTTGACAGGAGTCAAAACCATACCCCTTTAGTTAAAACCAGACAGCAATTTTGTAAACCTGGGCAAGATGCAAAATTCCTCTCATGGCAAAAAATTTATTAGCTTTGGGGCGGAAAAGGCAACTCAAAGTCGCCAATTTTATTTCTTATTATGTACACAAAACCACATCCATCTTCTTAAGCAGGGCTATCATATCCCTGTCATTGGGGCACTCAAAGTAAAATTCCTCTGGGTCAGGAACCGACGTGCACATTAACCATAATACGATAAAACGGAACTTCGTGCACTCAGCATATACGCATATTTTTATGAACATCTGCAACTTAATTCATACAATACTCTGGTACTCAAGGTACCCATACACCCATTCACCAACATAAAAGCGAGTAAACGAGTAAACTGAAGACAGACCGCCATTCGATTGAACGCTATGTATGTTAACATTAGTCATAAATATGTGGATTCCTCTCAAATAAAGCAGCAGCCCAAAGCGGGACAAAGTATTCAAATCGCCTGCAGTCAAACACCCCCTCTCCACAAGTCGTACTGTTTACTTTCCAGAAGTCGAAAAACAAGCGCCACAAACATCTCCCTAATGCAGCAACTCTACCAATACTGTTCTATCACTTGGTAGTTTTCCTAGCATTCATGACTCCTGTTCGATTCCTAAATTGACAGATGTTTAAACCGTTTGTCCACGTCATTGGAACAACAACAACGAACATGATTATGATTCAAGCCGCTTCATAAATCGCCGCAAAGATCCATTTTGCCGAGAAACGGACCTTTTCGCCTGCGCTGAAATTCCTTTTCCACTTCCTGTTTGTGTGTATACCCACCGCTTAAACTAAAAGCTCCACATCCGCAACAGTCGAACAAATGAAAGAATTTGCGCGCTGATCATTCCCGAATGACAAGCGAAAGGAGTCTGCCTCTACCAGTATCACTGCAAGCAGCTTAGATCACGTAGGTCCAACGAAAGAAACGCGAGAAATACATTCTCTACTGCAGTTTGATTGGATGACAACAGCAGCTCTATTTCCGTGGTGGTCAGACAGTTCTAACTTCCGTTTATGTTTTAGAGCGACTAGTTGTCTCCAGAAGGTTAATCCAGCAGCAGGAGGGATTTTAAAAGTCAATGTCTAACAACAATTTAGCATGCAATTATAATGTAAACATGTATGTATGCGTGGTTGTGCTGATGTGTTTCTAATTTTTTTCTTTTAGACACCTCCTTATCCACAAACCCGAAACTCAGACGATATAATTCTAATATCTTTAAGATGTTCTCTGAATAAAAATAAAGTGTACACATTATTATTGACGCCTAAGGAATTGAATGTATGTTTATTTGCAGTGTACGAAAATCACTTTTTTAATTTGAGTTTGGTTACTGGGGACAGCACATTAGGTAATTCGGGACAGAATATTTTGAGATAGCGGTAACGATTTATTTAATAATAATACAGAAAGTAGTTATTTTATGTATGTCAGTGTGGTCACACTGCATTTCCAAACCTCTCTTCATGGCAGCCCACTGTTATTTACTGGCCGATCAACACTTTTCATTAAATCAGGTGTGCTGATGAAATTAAAGAAATGTATATGATGGCTGGGGGCCTGAAGGAGAAATCTGGAATCAATATTTGTTCTTCTAACAGGCTCACAATATCTCAACTACTGTTTTTTAAAATAAGAAACCGTTGTTAATTGTTGCTGCATTAATGTTTGTTTACATTTATTCAATCGACGTAAGGTTTTCATAGTGGTCATTTCATTGTGCTCAGAATAAGTGGTTTTAAAAAATTGCCAATGAGTTGAAGACTTTTGCACAGTACTGAATATAACAACAGCAACAAAGTTTTGTAATGAAAAACAATGATTGAAAACACAGCAGTGAGTAGCAAGAAGACTCCAGAATACAGCTTTTCTGCAAAACACAATGCCCAAAGTACTTTATGAATGTGAAAATATTATATAACTATATTACTACCACAGACTATGATAGGAAAGGACCATTCAATAGATATGCAAAAAGGAACCAAAGAATGTTAAGCATATCTTGTTTACTTGCTACTAAATTCTAAAGTTCACTTGCTTCAAACTAAATTTTTTGAATAACTTTGAAAAAGATTGTCTATCCAGTAACTTTATCTCATTCTGAGAGGCTTATAGGTATGCAGAGATTACAACTGCTTGCTACGTACATTTAGCTTATTTTATAGTTGTTCGTTTCACATTGTGCACCAGTTTAATCAGTCCAGAGGCGCACATAGCTGCAGGAGGAGAAATACTGAGAGCTGCAGTGATTTTAGCAAAAGACTGTGTTTCAGGCCAAAGGTATATATAGGTTCGTCAGTCCTCTCTGTTTTATTGTGCAGTTTACTTCATACGGTGTGTGTAACTCTGTCAACAGCATGTCCAAACCTGAGACTAACTGAAACACAACGTAACACTGAAAACACCATATTAATGACTTGCCGACTACTTTTTCGGATGAACATTTAATAATCATTTAGGGACTGTACACACCAACTGATCCAGTTTAGAAAGCGGATTGTTTGCTAATCTCCCATTATACAAGTCAATGACACAATAGCACAGGGCCTTTGTTGTCATATTTTGCACTTCATAATGTGCCACACATTTCAAAGGGACAGATCTAGACTGCAGGCAAGCCAGGGTAGTACTCATACCCCTCTCAATACGCAGCCATGCTGCTGTTACATCTGCCAAATGTAGCTTGGCATTACATGGATATAAGCAGAGATGTCCCCGAAAAAGAAATAACACTAATACTTCCATACCATGACAGACCCTAGGTTCTGGGATTGAACTTTATGCTACTAACAATTTAGATGATCCTTATTTCTTTTAATATGAAAATGTAAAGTTCAATCCTAAATACAGGGCAAAAAGCCCCCTTTAGCATCTTGTCCAAAAATATTATTTACTAAGATTTCAATTAAAAAGTCACAAAACTTGTTCACTGCAGTTTCACTGGCTAGACATCATTAGCCTTACATTCTAAAGCAATTTTTAGGTAACATTTTAAGCCATCTTGATGGAGATGAATTTGTATGCAAGTTTTATAATTAGAAGAATTACATCCACACCTAATGTGTTGTCATGAGATGTAATCATTAATATTAAGTCCATGATTGGATTATCATGTCAATTGTTACATACAACCCACCAACACAGTCATGTGCCTTCTGCAGCAAGCCAATAGGGTTGAGTAAAGATGCCCTCTCTGTAACAACAAGAGGCTGTCTGGGCTTCTGGGCTGCACTTCAAAGCAAGCAGCCTTCACAGGAAAGACCACTGTAAGTGGATGAAGGCCCTAATCAAAGCACTGAAGGCCAAGAAATGATCACCTGGAGTTCATGAATCTGACAAGGTCAGCTAGCAATGCCCAAAGAGCATTTCAAAGCATAAGAGCCGGGGAGGAAGGGTGGTACACATTTTGCTGAAATTTGAAGGAGAGAGATTTGGTGGATGTTTCTGTTAAGCAAAATGTATTATTTACTGCAACAAAATATCCAGAGGAAGAAAAACAACAACAGCAACAACAACAACATGAATATGGAAGTTTAAAAACAAATTTTGTGACAGAGAAAGATCACTAAAGAGAAAAAAGTAGCCCATGCCTTTCTGTCCCATTAAGGATGTACACATTATTTGTATCTTTCCTCCTTTCCATTACCAGGTTAACATAACATGTTTTAAGATCAATATTTTCCTATACAAGAAAGGCAAAAAAATAGTCCTACATATGCACATCCACAAGGCTAATCTACTTCACCATTTGTATTAAATTTGTTATCTTAAAAAATACAAAGCATGAGGCCCAGTTAAACCATATACTGTTGGCAAAGGCTCTGTATTCCAGGAGAGAAAAAAAAACACAATAAGCATGGGGCATAATTATCTTTTCCAGTGTAAAATTGAACATGGGAGTTGATCCAACACAAGACAGATTACTTTGTCTGATCTCC